AGACACGCAATTACACCATCCATCAGCCGCCCCCAGACAAGCCCCAGCCCCAGCGCTCGTGTGCCAAGCTCCAGAGGTAAAGTGCCAATCTCTCTCCCTCTCTCTCTCTCTCTCTCTCTGGCAGGACAGCGATGCAGCGAGTTCGCCACAGGCAGAAGGGGGTGGGGTGGGATGGGGCTCTGTGGCTGCCCAAGCACTCGGGAGCCTCTCGGCTACGCTGGTCACCAGCTGGGCTGTGTGGAGGGCTCCAGGGAAGTCCGGATAGGGAGACCCTGCCTACCTCCAGAGACCCTGCCAACAATATGACCCCCTCCTTCCCCCAAAAGAAATCCTTTCGGTTGAACCTCAGGCTCAAAGTGATTGGGTTACACGGAAGGAATCCCGGTCACTAAAAGCAGCCTCCCACCCATATCTATCTATATCTATATCTATATCTATATCTATATCGATCTCTCTCTCTCTCTCTCTCTCTCTATATATATATATATAAATGGCTGGGAGCAGCAGGGGAAAGATGCTGGAGCAGAGCAAGGCCTGGGCCATATCCCTGTCTGTCTCCCGGCTGAGCGCCTGGTGGGTATAGGCAGGGGTGGGGGCGGGGGCTGGTCTCAGACAGTGACCTGCGCTTGAGTGGAAGCAGGCTTTTTCCATCAAACTCTGCCTGGATACCACACACAGAGCCCAAGTGTCAGTTTACTGCCCTGAGCCCAGCTCCTTTTCCCTAAGCTCCACAGTAATTAGACAAAGAAAACCTAAATTAACTGAACAGGCGTCGACAGCTTCCTCCAGATCCCCACTGCCACATACATGGGAATGTGTCCGAAAATGGCCTGATTGTACCTGAGAATCAGCTAAGAAAACACCACAAAGCCCCACAATGTTTACTACACATTTTAATAGAAAAACACACTCGCTCTGTCAATAGCCTCGTGTTGATCTTTCGTGGGGCATCGGCTTCAGGGCTTCCCACAGCCCCATCGGGGATGCATTGTTGGAATTGCCTCTGCAGAGAATAGAAATGACCCCGTTTTATTTTTTCCCCAATCAGCGGATGATTTTCTCTCTCTGTCTCCTGAACTGCTTGACCACTGCTTAAATGCCAGCATCCTTCCCTCATCCCCACCCCACCCCGAAAAAAATCCCCCAAACAAACCAAAAACACATTTCCACAAACTGCTGTAAGATCACAGGCACTGAGTAAAAGGCCATGAGTTTATCTTGAACGATTCCAACCTGCTGATAACTGGTTGTAGCTGGGACGTGGTGGTGTGTGTTAGGGGGGGCTTCACTGCAGGTGACTCTCTGGAGAGCCTGTTACTCTCGGGAGAAGCACATGTCATTCCATTCAAAGCAACTTGGAAAGAAATGTTTCAAATAAATCAAAATACTGCCCCCTTCCTCCCTCCCTCCCCTCGATCCAGCTGTACTGTGCATTCGTCTCTAGTCTATACACAGGCGATAAGGGCTAATAGATTACATCAGATTCCTTCTACCTGAACAGGAATGTGCTTTTCCTGGGCAAACGCTTAGTTTGAACAACTCCTTGAAGAAGCCAGGCATAGGATCAGAAACGAATTTAAAAGATCTGGGGAACTTTAGCAACAGCAGTGGTGGTCTTCGCTTCTGAGCCTCTCTGGCCTTTTTATTTTCTAGCCACCCAAATCCTGCCTCGGAGACAAGGTACTGAAAGTTTAAAAAATACTTTGCTTTTTTTTTTTTTGGCGGGGGGGGGAGGGGGGCGGTATGGAGGGGGGGGGTTGCATGGATTTGAAGTGCCTGAGAGTCGACATTGGCTGGTTGGTTTATTTTGATTGGTGTATCAGTTTCTCTGCTGATCCCCGCTTCGGAACACAACTGGTTTGCTTTACCATAGTATACGGAAATTAAACTTTTGGCAGATTTGGGTGCTCAGATGTTGTTCTATAATCATCGTTTTTATTCTAGGAAATCTCTTCATTATTGCGGTTTCAGTTTCATGCATAACACTGTGGCCCTCCTGCTTCTCCGGCGAAATGAAAGCCTAGACTAAACCAGTGAAGAAAATGGGAGACAAATAGGAAAGATAAATGTTTACTGCTATCTCCCAGCCCTCCTTTTTCCAACGCAGGCTTCAGTCTCTCCCTCCCTCCTACTCTGCTCTGAGGTCCTGCGGATGAGAAGCCTTTTTTCAATTAAATCCGAGGCTGAAACTTAAAACAAATCCCTCCAGCGTTGTAAAAGGCCGCTTCCTTAGGCCCCGGAGGACTTTCCTTTCACTGCCAGTTTCAGGGTGCCTTTCAGGATGTATCTAGGTCTGCATGGGGAAGGGGGGATCTGGATGGACTGGTGCATGGGGAAAGGAGGATGGTCTGCATGGGGAAGTGGGGATCTGGATGGATCGAGGTCTGCATGGGGAAGGGGGCATCTGGGTGGATTGGTGTCTGCAGTAAGGGCAGGGGCTGCCTTCTGAAGCCAAACCTATGAGCCAGTAGTCAGGGCCTGAAGGGAAAACCCCAGTGAGGAAAGAGGGAGTGGAAGGAGTTAGGACCAAGCCCAGACCCTTCTGTCTCTCTTCTGTACCCTGTGTCCTGAGCCCGCACACTGCTCGGACCTGGGCCATCCGTTTGTTTGGCTTGGCTCTGCGCCGTGCCCGGCTGGCCCGGAGCGTTTCACCGCCCCGAGCCAGCTGATCTTCGGGGATCTGGGGTCTGACTCTCCCGTGGTAGGGGCTTCCTGACATCTGGCCTCTGGGCAACGCGGCTCAGCCAAGCCGGCCCGGGAGGACCGTGGCAGAGAAGCCCGTGGTCCTGGCGTGCCAACGTGTGTCCCGGGGGCGGGGAGGGCAGCACACACCAGGACACCTACAGGTCTGCCTCACCCCGCAGGAAGGGCGCCTGGCTTTTAAAGGCCCCGATCCTTAGCAGTTTGCTCTGAAGGCCGTTGGGCAGAGCAGACTGGGGTTTGGGAGAAGCATTTCCCCGCCTGAGCCGGATGGATCGAGTGCGCCAGATGCATCTTCCCCCGAGGGCTGTTGGTCCCCGCAGGGAGGGCCAGGACGTCTGTGGCAGGAGGAGCCGCCCCGCGCTGCCCAGCGGTGCCAAGCAGAGGGGATGCAGCTCGCGGGTGACTTGTGGGGCAGCCTGAAATCAGGCCGAGACGGGAGGAAGAGGAGGGAGGAGGCCTTGCAGGACCTCGCTCAGGCCCCGCTCCTACCGATTCCCATGTAGCTCGCCTCTCGGTGGGTGCAGGGGGCCACGGGTCATCCACGGGCATCCATGCCCAGGGCAGTCCCACGAGGGCATCCATGGACATCCATGTCCAGGGCAGTCCCACGCTCCCCCTCCTCCCCGCCCCAGCACGCACCCCTTGAAACGTTTCTCCTGCCCATGCACCAGTCTGTGCAATGTGCTCAGGGGGGATCCCATCCCGCGGCTCCCCGAAAAGCCACCCCGCCAACCCAGCGAGGCTGCCTCCCTCCCGTGAACCCGCTTCGGCCTCTGCCTCTTCCTTGAGAAACGCGAGGCTGAAGTCTCTGCGGTGCCTGCAGCCAGAGCAGTTGGGGAAGGCATGGGCACGCTTTAAACTCTCCCTGCTGCGGGAGTGGGGGCATCTCCAGGGGGCACAGCCTGGGCAGGAGCCCCCGGACGGGGTACAGAGACGTGGTTGACTCAGGGAGCTGGCTCCTGGGATGTCCCGGCGCCTTGTGCCTTCGTATTTCCACCCCCGGGGAGGCAGCTGCGTCGCCTCTGCTTCCGCGAGCTGGTAGGAGACTCACAGTCCTGCCTCCAGGCTTCTCCCGATGCCCGCGATCCGCCTGCAACACAGCAGCCTCATGCACACTCCCTGCATCGTGCCCTCCCGTCTGCCCACAGCTCTGGATCAAACCCCTCTATATTGTCTTCTTCTGTGCGGGGATCACTTGGGACATTTTGTTTTGTTTTATTTTAACTACTTTCGTCCATTGTTTAGGGAGATCTTGCTTGATGACACTGCAAAGGATTTTTCTCCCCCCCTCTCCCTCTCCAACTCTGTGATCTGAACTTCCCGGGGCATCAAAATAAACCCCCTGCTGCGGTCAGGATATAGGTCACCTCTTTAAAGGAAGCACAAGCCTTCCAAAAATATAAAACAGCTTTGACGTAAGGAAAAAAAAAAAAAGGATTCTTTTGTCTGCGAGCATCCTTTGTCGGGGTAAATAAAACGTGACAGGCGCGGAGTCGAGCACAGGCACAACAATGCTGCGTGATGGCAGGGCGGAGAGGAGGCAGCGGGCTGCATGCTCCTCTGCTCCGGAGGGGAGGCTCTTCCCGGCCTGGGAGCGGCAGCCTGGGCTGGGAACAGAGCAGCGCGCCCTGAGCTACCCCACCGAAACCTGTGTGGCCCTGACAGAGGGGGCACGGGATGCCCAGCCTGGTCCAGCAGGGTGTCCCGCCTGAGAGCAAAGAAAGAACGAAAAAAGATAAAGAAAGAGCTGCTTCTAAAGAGCCAGTGCCTGCTGCTTTTGGCCCTGGCTGAGCTGAGTGCTGGAACAGCTCCGTGCTTTTTCATGCATGCTCCCACCTGAGCTTCTTTCCCTGCAGGGGCGGCAGCGTGGGGAGGGGTAGGGGCAGAGCTGATCCCAGCCTAAAGGGCATATATCCCCCGCACCCATCCACGGGCAGGCAAGCTCCATTGCTGGGGGCTTCTCTCAGTCTTATGCATAGAGATGGGGAGCCTGACCCCAGCAGTTCTCAGACAGGGGCTGCCCAGGGGATCAGCCCCTGGCTCTGCTTGGCTGTTGTGTGGCGCACCCACGGGCCGGGCGGGGGGGTCCTGACTGCAGCCTGACAATGGAGAGGGGTGGCGCCCCGAGGCCAGATCCCTCCCCGCTCCTGCACCAGCAGCCGCCGCTGGGTGGCGCCAGGCTCTCGGCAATGCGGCCACAGCCCCAGCCGCCGGCACCTGTCGGGAGCTCCTGGCACAAGGCGCCAGGGCCGGAGGGTGCTGCATGGTTTGGGGCTGCTCGCCTGTCCCACGTCCCTTTTAAACACGTTTGCTTGCAACAGGGTTCCTTGCACCATGGCTTTTGACTTTCCGCGTGGCTTTAGCTTCTGCCTCAGCCAATGCAAGGGACATAGGGGATTGTTCCACTGCCCGAGATCTCGTAGACATCACCTGGCGTCAGCTCCTGCTTGCAGGTCAGAGAGAGCATATGCTCCCTCTGATGTAAAGTTCCCCCTGGGATCCACAGTGGCACCGAGATCTCAAGAGTTGGCACAGAGATTTTTTTTTTCAATTAAGAATAAGTGAGTTATTTTCAAGGTAGCTTTGGAGGAGCCTCATGTTGCAGTCGTTTGCTCCACACATTTTGATATGCTATATATCAGACAGACAGATGTATATCTCTATCTAGACATATATCTATAGATATAGATATATGTCTAGATAGATATATATATATCTATATATAGATATATATCTATATATAGATATCCATCTATAGACAGTATCTATAGATATCTATAGATATCTCTCTATATCTATCTATATCTATATCTGTGTGTGTGCGTGTGTGTGTGTGTCCTTTTATATAGGGCAGTGTAAAAGTGATGTTGTAGCCTTGATGGTCCAGAAATTATGCAAGAGACAAGGACTTGTTAGGATTCTCTTTTATTGGACTAACTATGTAGCTGGGGTAAAGTTAGATAAGCTTTCGATTGTAAGACGTTCTTCCTCAGGTCTCTGATATGTTATCTGTATTGATATCGATATCGATATGTTTATATAAACACATGTTATGTATAACAGAATATATGACATATTTATATATTTTTATATACTATAAAACGCTATACTATATATGGAATATTTTATATACTATATATAAAATCAGAGACCTGAGAAAGAATGTGTATATTCTTTCATGTGAAACAATGTAGATCTATCTATCGATCTATCTGTGCCTCATCTTTCTTTATCTACATGCCTCATATCTGTCTGTCTAGATATCTATCTGTCTGTCTATTGTCTGCCTCCCCACATATATACAAATATATACCTCATATTTATATATGGCAATTCTACATGTGCCCCGCAAGCAGGGGGAAGATGCCAAGGAGGGCGAGCACTGCTGCAAATCAAAAGCCTGTTTGCTGGCTCAGCGCAGTGCCCAAACCTTTGCAAAGTCCTCTCGTGCCTGGAGCTCTGTGGGTGCAGCTAGCAGCATCCCATGTTCCTAATGTGTTGGCATGTTTCCGTTTGTCTGTGTGTGTTTGTGAAGGCTGGGAGCACTAGAAACACACCTGTATATTTCACACATCTCCCTCCAAGCCCGTTTGAAGACGCTTCAGCTTCCGTAGGCTATCAAGAGGAAGGGGTAAGAGTTTTAGCACAATGTTTCCTGCCTTTATTTTGCTTTCCCGGCTTGCATTAATGGTGCACGGTTTGAAAAGCGCCTCAAACTCAAAGCCAGTGATGGACAGGGAGCTGCAGCACCCTGGGGTGCTTTGAGATCCGTCCAAGGTCGCCTACAAAGGTAGCACTGTTGGGCGTGCACACATGAGCGGCCAGATAAACTCAGAGCTTTCAAACAAGAATCCAGTGTCAAAAGCATCCCGACCTGTTGTAGGCTTTCTGAGTTCTTTGCAGCAGAAGAATTGCTCGTATTGTTTTTCTGTGGTCAAAAAAAAAGAGTGAAAGTTAAGAGCTGGCATTTTTCGAGGGATGCCTTGAGTCTAGCGGGGGTGTAGGTTGTAGCAGTGTTGGTCTGAGGACGCTGGCAGGCAAGGCTCTTTGGGTAAACCTGATATCTTTTATTAAACCAACTCAAATTGCCTTGAGTCTAACGAGGGGCGCCTGGAGCGTCAAAAAAGCCGAGAACCACCCTGCTGAATACCCATTTTCCTCCCCTTCAGCGTGGCAGATTTGCTGTTGTTGTTCAGGGAGTGGGAAAGAGCTCCTTCCAAGATCCCCAGTTCATCATAAGGCGTTCTTCAGCGCAGCTCTACTTCATCCATTTGGGGTTTTTTTATTTGGAGATCTTGGGAGGTATGAGTCGATGCCATTTTTCTGCTGTGGCGGTCCCACGCTCTGTGGAAAGGCTCCTGGGTAGTTTTCGTTAGGCTGAAATAGACACGCGTCCTCCGAGAGCTGCTCAGTTGCAAAGTTTTCCCTTGGATCCAACTGGAAGCGGGGAAATAAGAATCGGTTCCCAGGGCCCACTGCTTTGGCTTGTACGTCCTGATCTCTGATCACGTTCAGTCTTGCTTCTTACCACGGCTGGAAGGTCCTCTCTCAGACAGGACCGACCTTTCCTGCTGGGTGGTGGCTGGAGCTGAGCTGATCAGCCAGGAGCTTCGGTGAAATAGAGGAGCGCCGCAGCTCATCTGCTAACACTTATGTAACAATCGGCGCTGATGGCTCGGCTGAAACATCCCTCCAGATGCCCATCAGAGCTGCTTCCAAGGCGTCGTACTATAAAGACCCACCCTACAGGGCTATTTTAACCGAAGGGGTGGGCATCACACGTACGTGTCGCGCTCAGGTTTTATCCGAGGCCAGCTGTATTGCTCGGACTGAAGGGAGATGCGTTAGGCGAGTGATAGGGGTGCAGACAGACGTGACAAATAAAGCCCTTGTCGCGCGTGGCATGCATAAGATCTCCAGGGGCTCCTTGCCCGAAAGGGATCCCTCTGTGCTCTCAATCCCAGGTAGGAGGAAAGCACAGGAGTGGGCCAGGCAGAGCACTCATTTGGCTGTGCTCTACTTTCGAGGGCGAGTCACCCACCCAAGCTTTCTTCCAGCTGCAGATGTTGGGAGAGCGGAATAAATCAGGGAGGCTAGCTATGTGCCTTGCCTTCCCCGGGGTGAGAGGGGGAACCCCAGCTCTCTCCACACCGCGGCGGGTGCCTGGTGCTGATCATCCGATGTTTGCAGATCAGACTGCCCGGGCTGTTTCCACCCACCCGGGAGGGGCACCTTTCACCCTGCCGACACACTGGCACATTCACAATGTGAAGGGCATCGAAAGGTTTTCCCTATTTATTTGGCAGATCCCAATTACTTCCCTAGATTTCCTTTGGGGGAGGTGGGGGTACTACTGGGACTATTTGGGGGCAGAGGGCTACTATTTTGTTTCTCTCCGGAGTAAGCAGCAATGCCATCTGTCCCGGGGCACACGAGATGCTGCTGCTGGCCGCGGACCGAGCGAAAGCGGGTGAAGGCGAAGAAACGCCAGCAGAAGGCGATCAGGAAAGTTTCCATCTCCTCCCTCGGAAAGCCACGTGGGAACCCGGATTTGACATTAACCGCACGGGATCTCTTTGGATGACACAAACGATCACGTTCACACGCCTGCAACGCTTGCAATGCCCCGCAGCACCAATAATGACAACGCTACAAATAACATAGCCGGATCTTTTGGGGGTGGGGGTGGGGAAGGGGGGTCTATCAATCGATTTATCTGTTTAATTTTACGTCTTTGCATTTATCTTAATTACTCTTTTACGTTTGTTTCTCCTGCTGTAAGCCGCCCTGAGCCTTGGTTGGGAAGGGGGGCAGGGGCAGATACACCGCATAAATAAATGCATATATTAATACTTGCATATATTAATGCACGCAAATAACATTTCTCCCTTGTTTTGGTTAGGAATGAAATATGACTCTTTTCCCCGCACTAAACGCTGACACAAAGCACAGCATTCTACTTTTTACATATTAGGCATGCAATGAACTTTCTTCCTATTTGGATGCTTATAGCCTTTGTGGCTCTGCCCAGGTACCCTGTTTTTTTGCGAATCCAGGTGAAGGCTATAATAGCTGCTTTCCTGGGATCCACCCCCGCTGAAATCAATGGCAACACTTCCATGGAGGGAAGCAGGAGCAGAATCAAAAAGTAGGTGCTCTATGCCTGTGATAGGGGAGTGATGTAGCCCTGATGGCCCAGAAATTATTTGACAGGCAAGGATTTCTTAGGCTGATCTCTTTTATTGGACTAACTATGTAGCTGGGGCAAAGCTTTCGAACGTAGGACATCCTTCCTCAGGTCTATACTCTTACAGTTGAAAGCTTGTGTAACTTTGCCCCAGTTACACTGACAGTCCAATTAAAGAGATCACCCTAAGAAATCCTTGCCTGTATGATAGGGGCACATCATGCTGCGCACTGGCTGGGTTTTCAGGCTGCAAGACATGTAGTTGTCAGGAGCCTGAGAGAGGACACCATCTGCTAAGGGATCCATTGAGCGCTAAAGGAATGTGATGGCAAGTGTGGAACAGGAGCCTCCAAAGGCATTTTAGCTACCTGGTGGATATGTCGACTAGAGAGGTGATAGGGTGGAATGGAAAAATAGGCACATCAAACAGAAGTATGGATCAGAAGAAATGCAATTGGTTTGGTGCTGCCAAAAGAAAAGGCAGAGTTCCATATTCTGATGTTATTTCTTACTCGACATTGGGCCCAGCCATGCACAGTGTGTTTTCATTTTCTGACTTGATAAATACTTCCTGGGATCAGGCCCCATGTAAATAGTGTATATCCCAAATGGGAAAATATGACAATAATCATATAGAAAATAACATAACTACATAGTTAGGTATTAAATATATTAATTCCACAGGTTATTACATTTCTTACCACATTATTTTCCTTTTGTGCCTCATTTAATGCTTGATCCAAAGCCAGTAGGAGTCCACAGGAGCCTTTTCTTTGATTTCCATAGGAGTTGTACTGTGTCTTGTACACTGGTGTCATACATCTGGGTCACAGTAAGCTGAGAGCTATGGAGAAGAAATTTGAGCCAATCTGTTTTGAAATGCTGGTTAGATGTGAGGAAAGTCTTATATACCTGTGTTTATATTATGAGTGTTGGGAATAAGAGTGCATATGCTTGATTTGCTTGGATACTGTATTGTATATATGATATATGCAGAAGGGATGGACATGGCAAACTAACTTTATACACATTGAATCAGAGAGGTTTGAAACCAATGAGAGTTAGAGGGATCTGAGACTGAGATGGATGGTCATTCACCTCATTTATGCAGAACTGGCCTTTGGACTTCTGTAATGTGCAATGGTGGTAGTAATGTTAGGAACAAGTCCAAGTTTGATGTTTGCATGCGTGATCTGTGGTTGGCTGAACATCCCTAAGGAGACTGAACACTTGATGAGCTATCTGCTAACTCTGTCTATATTTAGAGGGGGTAAGTAAGGGGGAGGAGAGAAGGAAAAGACTGGAAAGAATGGAATGACTCAGATGTTTATGGGGAGGATTAAAAAAGAATTCTGAGAAGAGGCACTAATGTTAATTCTAAATCTAAAAGACAAATCAAAACCTTAAAGCAAATCCTACTGGTGAGAATAAAAAGACAATTTCTCATCCTCGTAGCCTTGATTCTCACTTATACTTGGCTAATGGCTAAACAAGGAATAACTCATCAATGAAGAAACATTAGCATAAGTCTGGCATACACGAAATGGGCCTATCCTATTGAAATCAATGGAAACATCACTGTTGACCTAGTAAAGTGGCCCTAGGAAGTAAAATCATACCTCAAAGGACCATGGGACCTTACTCCATTTTGCACATTGTTTACATGATGGTATTAATCTGTAGCAATATCTCTTGTCATAGTTTAACAATGCAGAAGCATTGAAAAAAATGGAAATGCTGCAGTTGATTTTGGTCTGTTGCCATTGGGTGCAGTCCATTTCTGTGGCCATGAGTTGGTTACCTAAGAAACCACAATGGGATGGAGTCTGATTGGCTATGTTGTTAGGTTTTTGGGTGGAGTTTAAAGTAGTTGACAGCTCAGCTTTTCTCTTTCTCTCACAGGCAGGCACATATCCTTGATATTTTTACATTAAAAATATATATGATTGGAATGCTTGACAAGTAAGCTTGGTTTGAGCAAGGATATAATTTGGATGGTTAGAAGGAAGAATATTTTAAAAAATAATTTAGAGGGAAATGTTGGTATTGGTGAATTGTACGAATGACTCTTCCTGCAAAGAATATACTTACATATTTATGCATTGAAGTAATTTCCAGCTACTGTAGTATAAATAACAAACAACACCCGGCTATAAGGGCTCATTGGAGGGGTGAAAAAATTACTGGCACTGCAGCCATAATGTTGAAGAGCAAAGCAGCACAGGGCCATTGAATGATATGGTGCATAAAGTAATTTATTATATTTTCAGTGTTAATCTTTTAGTGTTTATAGTGTTAATCTTTCAGTGTTTATAATGTTTTCAGTGTTTCAGTGGGTTAATCTTATTTGTGTGGACTGCAATGGCTATTTAACTTGAAAGCATGATAGGTCTGATCCTTACTCATTAAAGTTAGTAGGAGGAGCTTTGCTCTTGATGTCATTGGCGGAAGGACTGGGTTCTATGTATCTGGGCACATATTGTACAATCAGTTTAAATTATTTTCTTCAGTGAAAAATGACTGTGTCTGAAATTAACAAGTTTGCGGAAACTATTTGCTTTAGTTTGAGTTTTCTGTTTTTTGAATGAATATCTTTTTAGTTTTTGAAAGTTGAAACCATTTGGGCTTTTTCTTTCCTCTTTCTTTTTTCTAACCTTCCCTTCTCTTTTCCAGTGGATAAATGTGGAATATATGTGCAGGATGTAAAAAATATTTTTTTAATTTCTTTTCTTAATGAGAAAAAAACGACTTTCCAGGAAAATGAAACTATGTCATGTTTTGGAAATTTTTCACTGAAAATATTTTTCAGTGAAAGAGACATACACAGTATTTCTGACCAGTTCTGAAGAGCTGTTATCTAAGTAGTCATCTCTCTCCCGCTTCAGGCAATGGCAAAATCATCAGTGGGAGCTGGATCAGATTTCTGTTGCTTGCTTCCATAAACACTAACACTATGACACTGGTGTTCCAGTTAGCCTGCTGCTGTTCCAGAGCTCATGATTTTGAGAAACAGAAAAGTGTACATAATTTTCCACCCACCCACATATATTGTTCTGGCCACATTCTGAGACCCTGGCTTAAAGCCTGATCTTGCAAGTTTTTATGCATGCACTTAATGCCAGCTGAATAAAAATAAAGTAAGGACTTCAAGGTTTGGCCCTGTTTGTGTATATCATTCTAGGCACATGTGCATCAAGAAATGTGGGGAGATGTTTACAACTTATACCATATGATTTTTCAATTTGCATGAAACCTTTTAAAAGAATCTGTTGAAGAGCTGACGTGTACCCATCAGCAGAATGATTACATTTAAACTTTTGAAACTATATTTCAGCAACAATTTCCTTGTCTACAAATTTACAAGGCTGTAAATGGCTCCTGTGTGCATAATGAATTCTGACATCATAGGCCAGGGCACTTATACACAGCAGGTTTGCCAGAGCTTTTATTAGCAAGTATACCTTGAGGCTAAACAACTCCCCCCCAACTTGCTATTATAAATGTTACAATAAAATGTTCCTTTGAGTTTCCCTCATGTTCCATGCTTCTTCTTTCTTCCCGTTCCAAGTTATGCATTCTTTAGAGAATAAGAACTTGATACAGTCAGATTACACAGAAAATGTGTTTTGCTGCAGACATATTGGAAATTAACTATTGTTACAAGGTGGTTTTTACATCTGGACTTGCAGGACAAATCTACAAGGGTGATAAAGAATAAAAACCAAGCTCTCTTACTTCCATATCACTGCACTGAGGATTCCACTTATTCCTATGTGGCCAATGGTGGATGTGTGTTGCTTCTACTTATCCAAATGGTGTGTGTAATGAAGGTGAAATGGAAGCTAAATGGAATGAAACTAAAAAAAAACCTGGTCAGGAAGGATTTCTAAAACAGAGAAATGATGCAAGTATAAACCTGCAATGAACTATTCCTCTTACCTTGTCTGCATATCAGCAATGTTTTAATACTTATTATACAAATCTGTTGCAAATCTAGAAGTGCTTTCCTTATATGTTAACATGTGTATTTCCTATGTAGTGCCTAGCAGAAAACCTATGTCCTAAACATAAAAACACTCACAATTTGATATAGTTTCTACTGTTTTATATTGCCCCTTTTGGTTCAAGAAGGCTATTTTCAGCATCCAGAAATACTTTAGTTCAGGAAAACAAGGACATATATTCTAATTCCAGCTCCAGCACTGTATTGCTGGTTGACTCTGGGCAACTCCTCTATCTAGAGGTGAAAAGTGCTGCACAACACCTAAGTGATAATAGTTATTGTTATTATCATCATCATCATACAAAAAGGCATTTTAGTGTTTGCTTAGGTCCCATTAAACTTAAACACCTCATAGCTCAGCCTCTTTTTAAAAATGTTTTCAAATATGTCTATTTGAAAGTATTAACAGGATCTGACCCATGGTATGTGATCTGTTCTTTCATCCGGCAAGGAAGGACTTTCTTTATATTTACGGTGTGGTTCTCACTGTATACTGAATTAAGTGTACTTACCAATATTAACTGTTTTATCCTGCTTTCTTCTCAAGTCTTTTGGATATTTTTAGTCAGTTAATTACTGGATGTAGAATTCATGAGTAGCTACTCAACTCCCTCCCCTACTTTGCTTTCACTTTTATCTCTGTTTTAAAGACCATTTGATTCATGTCCATAGATTCCAGGATTTCCCCTTAGCTGAATTACTGAAGCCACAGCTCTGCGCATCTACAACAAAAAAGCTACCCTACAAACTCCATGTTCACATCGTTTTAACCAAGATGTATATTTTGGAAGCTACATTCTTGTACAATTACATTTCAACTGTTCCTTAGAAACACCAGAGTACCTAGATTCTGAAGGGTAAAATACCCACCTTTGACAGCACCTGGCCCCCCATGCTGCAGCAAAGCCCATGATGAATCTGTTTGTCAAAGCCTTGACAGAATCTGAGCTGAACTAAAAGCTTTCTCTAATCAGAGCTGATCTTGCTTTTCTTTTACAGGCTCATCAAGTGAACACCAAAAGTGACGAGAGAGTTTTGGTTGGCCCAGTTCCTATGGCAAAACAGTATCTTTTTTTGCTTGTTTTTTTCAGCATAATGTAAGTTTCATTGTTATTGAATAGGTTATCTAGAGGTCAGTGGGCTAACAGGTTGTTTGGATTTCCTAAAATGGTGCCTCTCCCTAAATGTGGCTAAAAAGATTGTTTACCGACTGCTCCGTGAACCTGGGCTACGCACTAAAAATTGCACACAATGCTGCTATTTCTGTTTCTTTTTCTTCCCTTCCCCTCCATGTGGATATTACAGGACAATGCAGGACTCATTCACATTCTTAAGGAGACAAGATACAGATGGTCCTAGCCTCTTCTCTTATTCTTGGGAAGATCTGTAGTAAAAAGGTGTAGTTCAAAAAGAGATGTCTTTTAATAAGAATCATTTATAAGTGGCCTTTACAACAAGGCTGAGAGCTTCCTCTTAGACTGATTTCCTATGTGACCTGGGCAAGTCACTGCATCAGTCCAGACCTCATTTTCTTTTGTGTATAATGGAGAACACAGCACTTGCTTGTCTCTGTTATCTATATTTTGTTTAGACTGCAACCTTTTTTGGGGAGAAACTATCTCTACATCATTTAACACAATTATAGCTGGTGCTTCTTAGTACTACTGTAATGTTACAAATACAGTGGCCCATTTCTGTTGCCATTGAAATTGATACCACTTTTGTCATTGACTTCAGTGGGACAGGAGTAGTTCTTGTTTGCAGTCATGTTCCTTACGTTTGAATGACTATTAGTTCTATACTCCGGTGAGGTGA